CAAACCCCCCTGCAGTTTTCCAAATGTCTGAAATGTCAGAAATTTGACTCCTGAGCGTGATTTTTGAACCGAATTCTGACTCTCTGCACCTATTTTCAGTTTCAAATTACGACTTTTAATACCGAAAATATGCCAATTACTGAAAACGGCGATGGGTCATATTTTGCAAAAAACCCCTGCAATTTTCAAAATGTCTGAAATGTCGGAAATTTGACTCCTGAGCGTTATTTTTTATCCGAATTCTGACTCTCTGCACCTATTTTCAGTTTCAAATTACGACGTTTCATACCGAAAATATGCCAATTACTGAAAACGGCGATGGGTCATATTTTGCCCAAACCCCCCTGCAGTTTTTAAAATGTCTGAAATGTCGGAAATTTGACTCCTGAGCGTGATTTTTGAGCCGAATTCTGACTCTCTTCACCTATTTTCAGTTTCAAATTACGACGTTTCATACCGAAAATATGTCAATTACTGCAAACGGCGATGGGTCATATTTTGCCCAAACCCCCCTGCAGTTTTCAAAATGTCTGAAATGTCGGAAATTTGACTCCTGAGCGTGATTTTTTATCCGAATTCTGACTCTCTGCACCTATTTTCAGATTCAAATTACGTTTCATACCGAAAATATGCCAATTACTGAAAACGGCGATGGGTCATATTTTGCCCAAACCCCCCTGCAGTTTTCTAAATGTCTGAAATGTCGGATATTTTACTCCTGAGCGTGATTTTTGAGCCGAATACTGACTCTCTGCACCTATTTTCAGATTCAAATTACGTTTCATACCGAAAATGTGCCAATTACTGAAAACGGCGATGGGTCATATTTTGCCCAAACCCCCCTGCAGTTTTCTAAATGTCTGAAATGTCGGAAATTTCTCCTGAGCGTGATTTTTTATCCGAATTCTGACGCTCTGCACCTATTTTCAGTTTCAAATTACGACTTTTTATACCGAAAATATGCCAATTACTGAAAACGGCGATGGGTCATATTTTGCCCAAACCCCCCTGCAGTTTTTAAAACGTCTGAAATGTCGGAAATTTGACTCCTGAGCGTGATTTTTTATCCGAATTCTGACTCTCTGCACCTATTTTCAGTTTCAAATTACGACGTTTCATACCGAAAATATGCCAATTACTGAAAACGACGATGGGTCATATTTTGCCCAAACCCCCCTGCAGTTTTTAAAATGTCTGAAATGTTTGAAATTTGACTCCTGAGCGTAATTTTTGAGCCGAATTCTAACTCTCTGCACCTATTTTCAGTTTCAAATTGCGACGTTTCATACCGAAAATTTGTCAATTACTGCAAACGGCGATGGGTCATATTTTGCCCAAACCCCCCAGCAGTTTTCAAAATGTCTGAAATGTCGAAAATTTGACTCCTGAGCGTTATTTTTGAGCCGAATTCTGACTCTCTGCACCTATTTTCAGTTTCAAATTACGACGTTTCATACCGAAAATATGCCAATTACTGAAAACGTCGATGGGTCATATTTTGCCCAAACCCCCTTGCAGTTTTTAAAATGTCTGAAATGTCGGAAATTTGACTCCTGAGCGTGATTTTTGAGCCGAATTCTGACTCCTGCACCTATTTTCAGTTTCAAATTACGACGTTTCATACTGAAAATATGCCAATTACTGAAAACGGCGATGGGTCATATTTTGCCCAAACCCCCCTGCAGTTTTCAAAATGTCTGAAATGTCGGAAATTTGACTCCTGAGCGTGATTTTTGAGCCGAATTCTGACTCTCTGCACCTATTTTCAGTTTCAAATTACGACGTTTCATACCGAAAATATGCCAATTACTGAAAACGGCGATGGGTCATATTTTGCCCAAACCCCCCTGCAATTTTCAAAATGTCTGAAATGTCGCTAATTTGACTCCTGAGCGTGATTTTTGAGCCGAATTCTGACTCTCTGCACCTATTTTCAGTTTCAAATTACGACTTTTTTTACCGAAAATATGCCAATTACTGAAAACGGCGATGGGTCATATTTTGCAAAAACCCCCCTGCAATTTTCAAAATGTCTGAAATGTCGGAAATTTGACTCCTGAGCGTGATTTTTTATCCGAATTCTGACTCTCTGCACCTATTTTCAGTTTCAAATTACGACGTTTCATACCGAAAATATGCCAATTACTGCAAACGGCGATGGGTCATATTTTGCCCAAACCCCCCTGCAGTTTTCAAAATGTCTGAAATGTCGGAAATTTGACTCCTGAGCGTGATTTTTGATCCGAATTCTGACTCTCTGCACCTATTTTCAGATTCAAATTACGTTTCATACCGAAAATATGCCAATTACTGAAAACGGCGATGGGTCATATTTTGCCCAAACCCCCCTGCAGTTTTCTAAATGTCTGAAATGTCGGAAATTTTACTCCTGAGCGTGATTTTTTATCCGAATTCTGACGCTCTGCACCTATTTTCAGTTTCAAATTACGACCGTTATTTTTGAGCCGAATTCTGACTCTCTGCACCTATTTTCAGTTTCAAATTACGACGTTTCATACCGAAAATATGCCAATTACTGAAAACGTCGATGGGTCATATTTTGCCCAAACCCCCTTGCAGTTTTCAAAATGTCTGAAATATCGGAAATTTGACTCCTGAGCGTGATTTTTGGTCCGAATACTGACTCTCTGCACCTATTTTCAGTTTCAAATTACGACTTTTTATACCGAAAATATGCCAATTACTGAATACGGCGATGGGTCATATTTTGCCCAAACCCCCCTGCAGTTTTCAAAATGTCTGAAATATCGGAAATTTGACTCCTGAGCGTGATTTTTGAGCCGAATTCTGACTCTCTGCACCTATTTTCAGTTTCAAATTACGACGTTTCATACCGAAAATATGCCAATTACTACAAATTCCCCTAGAAATCCTACTAAAAATCCTATTAGAAATCTTACTATGAATCCCCTAGAAATCCTAAGAATTCCCTAGAAATCCTACTAGGAATTATCTAGAAATCCTACTAAGAAAACATACTAGGAATCCTGATAGAAATCCTATTAGAAACTTTAGTAGGAATCCCCTAGAAATCCTTCTAGAAGCCCTAGAAATCCTACTAGAAATATTTCTTGAAATCCTACTTGGAATCCCTTGGATATCCTACTACAAACCACCTAGAAATCCTACTAGGAATCCCCTAAAAATTCTACTAGGAATCCCACTAGAAATCTTACTAGAAATTTCCCTAGAAATCCTACTATAAAGTTTACTAGGAATCCTACTAGAAATCCTACAAGGAATCCTCTCGAAATCCTAGGAATCCTCTCGAAATCCTAGGAATCCCCTAAACATCGTATTACAAATTCTACTAGGAATACCCTAGAAATATTACAAATTCCCCTAGAAATCCTAAAAATCCTAATAGAAATCTTACTATGAATCCCCTAGAAATCCTATTAATCTTAGGAATCCCTTAAAATCCTACTAGGAATCCCCTAAAAATCCTACTAGGAATCCCCTAGAAATCCTACTAGGAATACTCTAGAAATATTACTACAAATTTCCTAGAAATTCTCCTAGAAATCCCGAAAAATCTTACTAGGAATCCCACTAGAAATCTTACTAGAAATTCTCCTAGAAACCTTACTAGAAATCCTACTAGAAATCCTACTAGAAATCACCTGGAAATTCTACTGGGAATGCTACTAGAAATCCTACTAGGAATCCCCTAGAAATCCTACTAGAAATGCTAGGAATCCTACTAGAAATCACCTAGAAATCATACTAGGGATCCCCTAGAAATCCTACTAGATATCACCTCAAAATCCTACTAGGAATCCCCTAGAAATCTTACAAGATTTCTCACCTCTGTCAACTTATACTATTGATGTAAAACCTTGCTACAATGTACTTTTTCACCTAACCTAATATGTTAGATTATGTTGACCAGACCACACACTAAAAGTTGAAGGGACGACGACGTTTCGGTCCGTCCTGGACCATTCTCAAGTCGATTGTGATGAGGACAGGTAGGGACAGGCAATAAATAGGCAAGAGACAGCCGAGGAGGAAAGTAAGGTGTAGGGGATAGTAGTAATAATGAGAACTGCAGAAGGCCTATTGGCCCATACGAGGCAGCTCCCATTATAACCACCGAAGGAGATAGCAATAGGAATAAGAAGAGGATAGCAAGGGAGCGTAGGAGAAGACAATGCACAGAAAAAGGGAGAAGAGAGAAAGAAAGAGAAAAAGAAAGATAAATGGAACATACTTCAGCCACGTTATTGTGACTCATCGCCTACATGTTAGATTAAGGACTTGCCCGAAGCACTGCGTGTTAGTGGCATTGCAAGAATGTAAAAATATCACTAATGTAATTTCACCAACCCATTGTACCATCTTGCAAATAAATTATTATTATATCTGACCATTACTGTTTTTACTAACTTTCACATTTTCAGTATAAAAAGTCATAATTTCAAACTCCAAACACAGTACAGTATATAGAATGAGCCAGAATTTGACTAAAAAATAACGCTCGAGTAATATTTCTGATCTTTTGAAAACTACAGGTCAATTTGGGCAAAATCTGACCAATTTTCATTTTTCACTAATTGGCATATTTTCAGTATAAAAAGTCATAATTTAAAACTCCAAATATGTGCAATGAGCCAGAATTCGGCTAAAAAAATAACGCTCAAGAGTCGTAATTCCGATATTTTGAAAACTGCAAGTCCATTTGGGCAAAATCTGACCAATCGCCATTTTAACTAATTTTTATATTTTCGGTATAAAAAGTCATAATTTAAAACTCCAAATGTGTGCAATCACATTGAATTCCGCTAAAAAAATAACGGTCAAGATTTCCAATAGGCATCATATTTTGAAAACTACAGGCCAATTTGGGCAAAATATGACAAATCACCATTTTCACTAACAATATGTATTGGCAAATTTCCTGTATAAAAAAGACGTAATTTAAAATCAAATACCTGTATGTGCAATCTCCTCAATTATGTTAAAAAATAAGTCAAGAATAATTTCCAATGTGCATTGTATTTTTCATAGTGCAGATCAATTTGGGCAACATGCAAAATATCTGTTTTATGTTAAGGATCATTTTCTTTACAAAATTAATAAATTTTAAACTTCAACATGTGTGCAATCACAATAAAATAGCACTCATAAATAATAGAAACATAATATTTCCATTGTACAGTATACACAATACATATACATAAAATATATATATATATATACATGTACACAATATATATATTCATAATACACTGTATAACATAATAAGTTTACACTGTACAATAACATCATTGAATAAGCAAAGAACAATTAACAAGCAAAAGGGCTAAATAAGTACATTACACAACTGATACTGTTCTATTTTAATGCATTATTAAAGCTCATTGCCTTTTGCAGGGAGTGATTTTAACACCTCTATAGCCTCCTTCATTGACTCAACAACTGTCATATCATCAAAGTAGTAAAATTTGTATTTGGGGTTTCCATTTTTGTTGTAGATATTATGTTGTACTTCTCCATGGGAATCTGAGGAGAGAAAAAATAAATTTGAATAATATATAAAATAAAGTAGGTCCAAATATATAAAACAAATAATATCAGCAATAAAGGTACTACAGATGTAGTAAGGTAGGTGCAAAGACATGCCACTAAGTGACTCCCAGAACTAAAGGACAAGAGCTATGAGGAGAGGTTAGAGGCAATAAATATGCAAAAACCTAGAAGACAGAAGAAAAAGAGGCGATATGATCACTACGTACAAAATAGTAACGGGAATTGATAAAATTGATAGTGAAGAATTTCTGAGACCTGGAACTTCAAGAACAAGGTCATAGATTTAAACTAATGAAACAAAGCTGCCGGGGAAATAGAGTGGTAGATGGTTGGAACAAGTTAGGTGAGAAGGTGGTGGAGGCCAAAACCGTCAGTAATTTCAAAGCGTTAGATGACAGAGTGCTGGGAAGACGGGACACCACGAGCGTAGCTCTCATCCTGTAATTACACTTAGGTAATTATATTTATCAACCAGCTGACAATAGTAAAGTTGAAATATGAAAATTACATTGAAACAACTTAATTTGGAGATGCATCAGTTAACATTACCAAGAAAGAGAATGCGTGGAATGTATCCTCCATCAGGTGAATACTTCTCCTCCTTTGGCTCTTCATCATCTATAGTGTTCACCATAACAAACTTCTTACTCAGTACCAATGCATCTTCAGAGGCAGCAAACTTTGGTTTAAAAGCTGAAAATATAAAAGTGTAAATGTAACTTGTAATCTATAACAAAAGTTATGTAGAGTGTATTATATAGTGAAGCAAAGTTTATTACAAGACTTCCTGAACTTGTTAACTGTACACTGAACACACAAAAACATTTGTTATAAGTATACACTAATGAAAGAATTTACATTTTTTCCCAATAAAATAATGTATGCTGAAAAATAGAATTATATATTAGCATATTTAAAGCTAATATAGCTACAAAAGAATAATCAATTTAACTAATAATGTTATAATTTCATAAAATAAAGTGCTGATACTGTATATATGTTTAATTTAATCCTCTAACGTGCATATACGTGTTCCAGAATTAGCTATCTATTTCTATAAAATCGGACAAATCTATTAAAAACCTATATACAGTAATTTCATGTTACAGTATAACCTAATTTTGATACAAAATCAGATATTTATATATCTTAAGTCAAATCTTTATTGAGAACTTTCAACCTGTGATCTGTCTGTGTCCCTGAATATTTCAAATCTAACCTTAATGTTGTGAAATATATTAGTACAGATCCAGTTCTTTTAAATTTGTTCACAAGTTCAGGAATCCCTGTGTGTAGGATCGATTTTGTGAAATTTCTTTGTAACTCTTCCTCTGATTTCCTTATATCACAATCCTTTGAGACGGGATGACACAACAAAAGTATGTTTTTGTGTATTTATTATTACGGATAGTGTTCTGAAAAAAAGAGCTGAAATAATTAAAAATTACATTTAAAAAACACATTAAACATGATAAACATTAATAAACATGAGTTTTTAACAAATTTGCCCAATTTTATAGAAATAGAGAGCAGATTGTGGGACAACCTACATGACAGCTCACCCAAGTGGTGGCCTAAATAAATAAATAAATGTCTCTGCTCCCTGTCCCTTTGTGAGGGAGCCAAGTTCTGGCCATGGTCAGAACTTGTTCATCAACTCCACGGTTGATGAAACATAGTAGACATACTATAATTATACAGTACAGTATATGTAAATACCTTTACAAGCCCCACACCAAGATTTGTGGATGATCAACATTAATGGCTTTCCTGTTTCTTTGGAAACCTTAATTCCGTCTTCTAGTGTGTGCCAATCATACTTTTCCCCAAGACCTGCAAGAGAATAAAACCATTAAAAGACAGTTAAGAAACCAGTGTTAAATGTAATGAAACGCCATTTTCTGGGTGAGACCCGGAGGCTCCCTGGAGCAAACCAAGCTGATATGAATGTATTAGACTCTGGCATCAGTCAATGCACATGGAATTCTAAGCCTACCATGGACCGTGAGCCAGAACCTGGCCTCTCAGAGAGGCACAAGAAGCAATGGCCTATCGAAACCCCCGTATAGTTGGAAGCATTCTGTGTCTGCCATCGATCGAGTCAGACACCAAGAAAGGTAAACGCCAGAAAAAAAATATATATTATGGTTAAAATATTGCTACTGAAAGCCGAACTAGTGGACAGAACTTCCCAAATGAAACGAGCAAACGAGCATGACGTCACCATGCCGCTGTCTATGCAACCTCCACCTCCCCAGGAGGGGAAAGGGGATGCCCCAGACCCAACACGCCGGCTATCTACACTCCAGTTCTGAGGCTGGATGTCAAAACACGCGAAAAATCGCCAACCAGAGGGAAGAAGGGAGGGAGCCTCCCGGGTCTCATCCAGAAAATGGGTTTCATTACATTCAACGCTCGTTTTCTGGGAGGAGCCCTTTCAGCTCCCCGGAGCTACTTACCCAAAGACAAAACAAGAGGGACTTACCCGGGAGGTGGTTGGCCCTCGCTCTTCAACACAAAGTCGAGACAACTTTGCAAAAAAAAAAAAAAAAAAAAAAAAAAAAAAATTGCCGGAAAACCCCCCACCCAATACAACACAGACCCAACTAGGCCCAGGTACACTGACAAGGTAGTGAGCGGCCAGGACCCTGTTCGACCCCCAAAAACCCTGTGCTTGAATGTCAGCCCACGACATGTTACCGAAGATGGCACCAACCAGCTGGTTGATGAATTCAACCAGCTGGGTTGTTCAGTACAAAAGAGATTAGTTGTTCAATTTAAACCCTGCTTAGTAAATTTATCAAACCTGGCGGAGGAATACTTACTAGCCTAGGTCAGTCCTTAGCGGAGGACAGGCTACAGGTGGGGCAGTGTGGGTTTGGTCAGCAACTGGGGAAGTCAACCATTCTCACCTCTCCCGAGATCAACATTCCATCAGCTGGTTTCATAGTCAAGGTAAAGTTGCCGAGTTTTGGTATAGGAAAATGATTCATTTGTGCCTCAATAGGGAATATTAAAAGTTTTAAAAGTCATGTTAGGGAGTGTTAAGCCAGGGAGTGATTTCTATTAGTTGTTTTCTAGATTTGCATAAATAAATGATTAGATTGTTCCTCGGTATTTTATTAGTTCCATGAATGATTTTGCATGTTCCTTGCCATGTGGTCTCCAAGAGTTTGGGTTTTTTGGGTCACAAGCCTAGCCCAGTTTAAGAGCTAATATATCCCCTTGTTTTCTGTAATTCCCACACTTAACATAAATTCATCCCCCCCTTTTCCAAGCAATTTGGGGATTAAGCCCCAAGGGCTAAATGATTGATTAATTGTTCCAGATCCTGATTAATTGACAGCGTTTGGTTAATGGTCTGGTGGTGGCGGCGTAAAGAGATCCTTGAGTTTGCTAGAAACCTAGTACGACGTTACGTGGCTGTAGAATCTGAGCCGATCGAGCGGCTAAGACCACGTGGTGTGGGACTCGGCTGAGAGTTAGCTCTGGGGTCCCCTGGAATTAAGTTTAATTAAGCATATACACGGGCAGGGTAAAGGACAGAGTAGAGCTAATACCCGTCCCGTGTTACACCATCTTCCAAATCCCCTGCCTCAAAAGAAAAGGCAGGAGCAGCTGAAAAAAGCAGGAACGAAGGGGGCCCACTGGCCAGACCCAAAAGCTCCGGCTGGAAGAACATGCTCAAATGCCTCCGTCGCCACACCGAAAGGGGCATTCCCCGAAACTGCCCGAGTCTCAACCCCTGCTAAACCCTGCCTGACCCTTTAGGGGACACTAAAAAGCCCCGAAATCATCTCAAGATAACCTCAAGATAACCCCGAAACCCTCATACGCTTTGAAGACGGTAGTGGGGGTGGGGGGGAAAGGACCAGAACGAACAACAGCAGGAGAAGAACAAAGGGGACATGGAATGAATCAAAGTCGAAGCAACTAACATCCCCAAAGTTCGGGTCCTTATAACCAAAATGAGGCAGTCTCGGGGCATCCAGGGTAACAACTAACCTAGAGCATTGCAGCAACCTAAAACAAGCATGCAACACCAAAGCTCCCTGCACCCTAAGATCATGATCAGTGGACTGGGTGTATTGGAGTACACACAAGGGAACAAAACATACAGGACTCCGGGGTCGAAGGTGTCACTGATCCAACAGGCAGCATGACAGACACACAACCAGTGATTGTCACCCTGAGACAAGGGGACAGGGCAACCTTCAAACTCTCAGGAAGCGAGAGGGGACCCAGAGGTCGCATCCATCGGACCAAAGAGCCCCCACGAGGTTTCCCAGGACCCTTAGTCGTGTAATCTTGCCAAGGAAAGCCCAGGCAGGGTACTGCTAACCAGAGCCCAAAGTTACCAAACAAACTGCTAAAGCTGAACCCTTGGGATGTGTACACTCATGGGGACCTAGTGGAGGACCACCAAGATATAAATGGGTGTGATCAAAACCAAGGGGGCAGACCCCAACCAGGCAGGAAAACAAAAACATAAGAAAAACCCCACAAGAGGATAACGTACCCAGGCGGAACAGAGCCGGTCACTATGAGAGGTGAAAACTAGCTGCACAGTACCCTGCTCCCCAACCAATGACAAAACTACCCCCTACCAAAGGTAAAAAGGAGTGCAAGAAACACCCCAGCTGACTCCAAGGGCAGTCAATCCCTGAGCAGCAAAAGACCTTGCGAAGGTAGACCCCAAGGTGACTTGGAATATTAGAAAGAAAATATTAGAAAGTTTTCTTTTGCAAACAAAGTGGTAGATAGTTGGAACAAGTTAAGTTAGAAGGCGGTGGATGTTAAAATCATCAGTAGTTTCAAAGCATCATGATAAAGAATACTGGGAAGACGGGACACTATGTATTCACCTAGTTGTACTTGCCGGGGTTGAGCTCTGCTCTTTCGGCCCGCCTCTCAACTGTTACTAACTATTAACTTTATTTTTTTAACACACACACACACACACACACATCCCTAAGAAGTAGTCCATAACAGCTGTCTAACTCCCAGGTGCCTATTTACTGCTAGGTAATAGGGGCATCAGGATGAAAAACTCTGCCCATTTTTGTTTCCACCAGCACTGGGAATCAAACCCCGGATCACAGGATTATGTATCCAGCATGTTGTTCACTTAGCCACCAGCACCATTAATGTGTAGCTCTCATATTGTAACTATACTTAGACAAATATACAGCTCTCCCATTTTTTCTTATCTTTTTCCCAGTCTGGCCACTAGCCTTAAACAAAGACATTTTCATTTATATCTATTTAGAGGGGGGAATCCAGTGGTGCCCAGGTCTGTTTCTACTGTATCTCTCTTCCCCCAACCCCAATTCCACCCCTTTACTTTGGAGGTGCATACTCCATGACTGGTCTAACGTAATGGTATACAAGGGTCTAAATTGTTCCTTACACAAGTTTCTAAAGGCAGTTTTTATGTTGGCCAACCTAGCATATGCCCCCTGATGATATTCTTTTGAAGTTTTGCTTCAGGAGAGAGAGAGGTTTGGCATGCTATCAACCTTCAGATCTTGGTTTCTACCTGATTTTTTTTACATTTCCTCTCCCACTTGGTACCTTGTGCCTGCCCTTCTGTTCCCTACAACTATTTCCATTACATTACACTTACTCAAGTTAAACTTTACTAGCTATTGGTTAGACCATTCCTTCACTATACCCTTTGGAAGATCATTTATGTGTATCAGAAACAAGATAAGTTTGCATACGGACATGGGACATACACAAACAGCACAATAATGCATATGCCTATTAGCATACCCATAATCTTATGTAAGGTAAAGTTTTACTAGTCAGATTATTCAGATACTTCTGAGAAAGTGCCGTGCTATCTTTGAGACGGGTAAATCAAATAATACTTGTTTTTAACAACAAAATCTCAATACACAACACTGATTATTACACATCGATACAACAGAAAAGGTTAAATTTAGGGTCTTGGTAGTACAGTTGGGTTCATTCTCAACTCACAAATGGGAATCTAGGGTTCGGATACTCTTATGCTAGTGTTGTTCACATTTCCATTCACCTAATGCCTCTGCTCACCTGTCAGTAAATAGGTACTTGGTAGTTAGTCAACTGTTGTGAAGCTTAATCCTGGGAAGGGTTAGTTCATGCTTGGAGAGGGAGGTTACAACCTTGATACCAGCCTAACATACACAAGCCCCCAACAAAACGAATTATTATATTTATAGTAAATATACAATATCCTTATCATTAAACAATAAAAAATGATCATAAGTTATTACCTTTACCTAAGTCATTCTCGGCTCTAACGTGTATTCCGATGACACCACAAAGAAAACAAGCCGAGAAGGAAATTGAGGATTTAAGAAAAGCCATCACTTGTTACTGCAATATGCAAATGTTACGATTTCAAGTCACCATAAACCAAGTCCGTATTAAAACCTAGGTACTCAGTTTCCTTAAAAAAAATCGTTGCCTGTTAGCAGAAAATCCTATGCCTTGACAGGTCCGTATGCTACTCCGATTGGCAAATTGCTGACGACGTTGAAATTTGTTTATTATTGTTGATTGTAACGCCGTGAGAACATCACTACTCTTCTTGATGGCACGTAGTTATATGAAGGTTTTTCCCTTCCAACGACTGCACAGCTCATTAACTCTTCTTGACGGTACGTACAGTTTGAGAGAACAGTCTACCCTCCTGATGACTGCACAACACTAACTCTGGTCAGTTTGTTATCATCAGCTGTTGTGGTGGGAGGAGCTCCTGGTACTCTTGCCAACTGCCTGTAACTCTCTGATTTTACATAAATACTTTAGTAACTGATATAAAACATTCTAAAATTATACGTGATTGTCGTTTATATTAAGAATATTATTAACTATGAAAGACTTAATCTTAATATCAATCTTAAAATGGACAATCAAATTCTTAGATAATATACATGTGCAGACATAAACAACTGTACTAAATTTTTAAACTCGTTTTTTAGGTCATTCATAAATTTTGAGTTTTTATCGCTTCTGAAAATAAACTGTTATATGCACTTTGTATTTTATATAACATAAAATTAACATAACAAATAAATTCTGCATTTTTATTGGATATTATGCTATATAACCACGGAATAGTCCATGTAAACAAAGGAAATTTCTAGTTCGTGAGCCTTACTACATTCCAGCATGAAGAAGACTCGTAGTATGAATCTTAGAGCTGTTGCCACCATTCAAAATCTACCAAAAGCTAGTTACTGAGCTTCTCATTGATCGTTGTTCTTTCGGAAGACCCCTTAGGTAACTCCGACACGGGGGTTCACATGTCACACAACGGAACCCTAAACATTTCACGCGACGATGTCGGAGAGGTTACACGTGTGTTCATCCTCAAGAATGGAGGCGGTGATCCAGCAAGCAGTGAAGGACAAGGAGTGTCATCATTATCGCGAACTCCCTCCATAAGTGCGAACACAGGTCAACATGGCGTCAATGTCAGTGATAGTGGAGGGATGGGTAATTGTGACAGTGAAAATGTTATTAATGGGATGCTTAGAACGGGGGAAGATGATGTAGACCCATCCACAGATCTAGGTGCAGATCTACAACACATAGAAGAGTGGTTAAAGACACGCAGTGATAGTCTTTCTAGCTTTGATTTTGATCCCGAAATTAAACCCTCTGAGGTAGACGTCAATGACTTTTTCAATCTCAAGACCGGCGTGCAGTTTCATGTAAGTGGCCAAGACTATGGTTTAGTATTTTCAAAAGATAATACAAGTGATACTGGTGCTTCTTCAAGTACAATGTTGCCAAATCAATTTTCTTTCCCTGATCTTGGGGACACACTGGGTGGTGCTGGAAGCCGCAGAAGTAGTTTCACCAAAAAACTTGAAACTCTTATGCAAGTGGATAAGGGTCTATTTGAGGAGCTCTTGTTAACAGATCCCAACAAAAAGTATGGCAACAAAAAATCTGATAATTTGACATCATTACCTGTTGAAGATAGAGGTCTTTTCGAAGAGCTGTTACTGCCTGGAGCTCAGGAGGAATGGGCCCGGCATGCTCAGGAACTTCTTTTGGCAGTAACACTGGAAAAGAGAGAATTGAATATACCAGGCCAAGTGTCAGGAGAAAATGAGCCAGTTCGTGAGCCTGTGGGGTGTAGTGTACCAGTGTTAGAGAATACTCAAGAAATGGCAAGTGATCATGAAACCTCTGATGAATTGGACCTCATGGTTAGAAATATTCAACCAATAAAGCTGATGAGTCCACAAGAGATTGAAAACATGGCATCAAGACCACTTGGCTTTGATGAAACACCAATCAAAACAGAAACTCAAAGAAATAAAGAAGTCGCATGCCAAATGGAAGATTTTAACTTTATTCCGTTTGGTGCCAGGGGTTGTGAAGACAATAACACACTCCCATCTGATCTTTTGACAAGTCCAAATAGTGAGGTAGACAGTAAACTCTCCAGTATATTAGCAATGGATGCCTCTAATGACACTTTAGAAATTCCAAGCTCTGAGAATAGTGATATGTTAGAAAATCTTGGGAAAATGCCTCCCAAATTAGAAAGAAGCATATCTCCTGGAACATTCTTGGTAAAATTGGAGCCAAGAGAAAATAGAGATGTGCGTGACAAGGTTCATCTGTCAACAGTAGTGTCTACATCTAGTCAGCTTACAACTGCAGCTATGCCACCCCCTTCAACAACATTTACCAGTGCCACAGCATCCTTTCAACCCCCTGTATCTCTTTCAATTCTGAATGTAAATGACATAATTAACTCTACATTAACCAAAACATCAACCACAACTAATTGCAGCTTAGTTACTGCTGTGAGTTGCAGCTCTGCTGTAAATGTCACATCTGTGACAAATACCACTACCACTGCGTCAGTTAGTTTGGCTCCTAAAGGACTTCTGAAAATTCCATCGGGTTCAGTTCATACTGAAGTTAAAAAATTGCCTATAGGTATGGTTCAACTTCGCCTAGCAGCACCACCACCAGTCACATCTCTTAGTGCAGCTTTAACAACTGCTACTACAACATTAAGCCCTCAGTTGCCCAGACCCACTTTCATATTAAGACCATTAATTACATCTGGACAACAATTACAACAACAACCATCTCAACAACATACAACAGTTACTGAAAACTTGGTAACTTCTAAGGAGAGTACTCCTTTAACCTTCACACCACTCAAAATGGTAGCAGTACAACCATCAAATAAACCCGGCATTGCAAATGTGACAATCACAGTTGACCGAAAAGCCAATCTGACCACAGTCAACATTGTGTCTTCAAACAATGAGCATACAGTTTTTAAGATAAACACTTGTGACTTAGTAAGAGCTGTTTCCAGCATCCGTGAGCCACATTTGGAGCCGTTGGGTCTTACACCTCAGCAGCTGCTGCGCTCTGCACACACCGCTCACCGTCTCATTCAGGAAGTTCATCAGCAGGGAGTTGCACGCCAACATAAAGGTACTGGGAAAGATACTTCTTCAGGACCACAAAATTTTGAGATCAATCAACCTCTGCAAGAAGTAAAGCCTCCAATCTCACGAATGCAGCAAGGACAGTTGGCAATGTTGCGGCAGGCAGCAGCAGCAGTCACCACGGCAGTGACAACTAATGTGTCAAATACTACCAGCCAAAGTGTAATGAGCCAAGTTGTCAAAAGTAGTGGTATGTGTAATAGTATTGGTTCAACCATAATGGGAGCAACATCGGTGCTTTCAACAGCTAATACATCTGGCTCTGTTTTGATACCTACACCACTAAATGCAGCTGTATTATCTACTGTCAAAGGTGCTGTTTCAGCATTTACATCACAGAAAGTTCAAGCAGAGACCACATCATCAACACTCCGCTCGGAGCGAAAAACTTCACGTCTGACCACCATCACTAAGTCAGAAAAGTCCCACAGTAAGTATACAATGTTTTGTATTTTGTGCACTTTAGAGTGGCACTAAAAATTTAGATTATTACAGTAAGTTGATTTTTTATTTTCATATCCTTAGTTATTATTGTTCCTCACCATGGCCGATATTGAAAGTGTACACTCAATTTCTCACAAGTATTTTGAGAATTATCTTAATGATATTTGACCAGTGAATTGGGAATATGTTAGGTTGGATGTAGACCTATGTAGACACTGCAGAACCTTGACAAATGCAGATTTGTTTCTCTTGGTGATTGAAGGGTGACGATAATCGCGGGATCAGATGTGCCCAATGTGTTCCTGTACAACCACGTGTTGCAATTCCATCCAAATGTAACATACTAAAAAATATGGAAAATATTGCCAGGTGCAGCATTTTTTTTTTTTTATTATATTTGTTAATTACAGTGATTGGAGAAATATTGCCTGGTTTGATTAGATGGTCTGTGTTCACATCCTGTGAAATCATTCACACTCATTCAACAATAACAAACTTTATTCATTATGCTGTACATAAAGGGTGTCCAAGATTCAGTGCCTTTGCAGGGGGTCAGAAAGAGGAGCACTCTAGAAAGAGAATGCAGACAATACAAAAGGAAAAAATCACAAATGCTTATGCAGACACAATTTTCACAACAAAGAAAAAGAAATGTAAACTGGTAGGTAGAAGAAATAGAGCACACGCTGAAGTGCTCATATCAGTCTGAGGAAATGAAACTGGAATAATGCTATACAAGAGATAAAGCAAAATTAAAAATATTTTTCACATATGCGAAATCAGAATAAAAAACGTCCTCCAGTGTTGGACCTATACTTACAACTGTAGGTTTGTACATAGAGGATGACAAAGAAAATATTGAAATCCTAAAAGACCAGTATGAGGCTACATTTAACAACCCAATAAATCTTCCTGATGTATCCACATGAAAGTGGAAGATCCTGACAGCTTCTTTATGAATGCCATCCAAACCCCAGACAATATAACTGATATTAACACAAACACAGAACTTTTTGAAAGAGAAATTGACAACATGCCCATGCACTCTACCCCAGGTCCTTGTATGTGTCAGGTGCGTGGGTTCTGCTGGACGCCAGGTGAGGCATGCTCAGTTTATCCCGCCTAGGGACGACCACGCTTGAATTCTTTGTGACGCATTTCATTGTTTTTCTGCATTTTTGTTTTCTGGGCAGAAAAGCTATTATGTATCACACCATGGGTCCCAGGAAAGCCAGTGATAAAGAGACTTTGAAGGGTTTGAGTTGGAACCTGCTCACCATGGCCCATTTCCTCTTGTTGAGGAAATTGTTAATTTGGGCCCAAAATTAGGCTTGGAATTGAATGGAGCTGATGTGGTGGTGTTGGAGGAGGAACACAGTGATTAACTGACTACCGAGAAACTCCTAACCCTTCACAAGGAGCAGCAACAAGAGACAGCTGAGTAAATTTCTTCAGGGGGGGGGGGAAGAGGAGGCGGCAGTAGAGGATGTCCCTTCCTCATTAATTAAGAAAATGTGTTAAGTATGGGAAGAACTGCAAAGTTTACTGAAAAGACTCTCCCAGATAAAGCTGTAGCAAGCCGTTGCATTAACCTTTTTAATGACAATGTGATGTCTTGCTACAGACAAGTGTTAAAACATAGGGAAAAACAACTGTCTATAGGCAGATTCTTATTGAGACAAACAAGCAGTAAGCCACAACTAGGTCCTGGTGGTATGCCTGCAAAACAGAGAGAGAGAGAGAGAGTACCCTAGAAATGTACTCACCTAGTTGTAATCATGTAGTTGTGCTTGCGGGGGTTGAGCTCTGGCTCTTTGGTCCCACCTCTCAACCATCAGTCAACAGGTGAACAGATTATGGGGCCTACTAGGCTCCATCATATCTACATTTGAAACTGTGTATGGAGTCAGCCTCCACCACATCACTTCCTAGTGCATTCCATTTACTAACTACAGTACTCTGACACTGAAAAAGTTCTTTCTAATGTCACTGTGGCTCATTTGGGTACTCAGCTTCCACTTGTGTCCCCTTGTGCGTATAATACCCGAGTTAAATAATCCATCCTTGTCTACCCTGTCAATTCCCTTGAGAATCTTGCATGTGGTGATCATGTCTTCCCGAGCTCTTCTCTCTTCCAGTGATGTGAGGTGCAGTTTCCCCAGCATTTCCTCATAACTCATGCCTCTTAGTGGCATACCTCTGAACTTTTTCTAGTTTCGTCTTGTGCTTTGACATGGACTCCATGCTGGGGCCGCATACTCCAGGATTGGCCTTACATACGTGGTAGACAAGGTTCTGAAAGATTCCTTACACAAGTTTCTAAATGCAGTTTGTTTCTGAATTTATTGGACCATTCATTCAGTTTGTTTAGGTCATCATGTAACCTCATACTATCTTCCTGTTTTAATCCTCCTCATAATTTTTTCATCATCCGCAAACATTGAGAGGAACGAGTCTATTCCCTTTGGGAGATCATTTACATATATCAAGAACGGTATAGGACCAAGAACTGATCCCCGAGGGACTCCACTGGTGATATCTAGCCATTCCGAGACCCCCACCCCTCACAGTGACTCGCTGTCTTCTGTTGTTTAGGTACTCCCTTATCCAGTGGAGTATCTTCCCTTTCACTCCTGCCTGCATCTCCAGTTTATGCACCAGTCTCTTATGTGGCAATGTGTCAAAGGTTTTCTGGCAATCCAAAAATATGCAGTCTGACCTGCCCTCTCTCTCTTGCCTGATTTTTACTGCCTGGTCACAGAATTCAGTCAATCCTCTGAGGCATGATCTGCCATCCCTGAACCCATGCTGATGTTTTAATACAAAGTTCTTCCGCTCCAGATATTCCACTAGTTTTTTTTGCACAATCTTCTCCATCACTCTGCATGTTATGTAAGTTAGTGACACTGGCCTGTAGTTCAGTGCCTCCTGTCTATCACCTTTCTTAAATATCAGGACTACATTAGCCGTCTTCCAAGTTTTTGGCAGTTCACCTATCACCAGTGATTTGTTATACACCATTTCTAGTGGCTGACAACAAAGCTTCAGCTCCTTCCTTCAGTATCCAAGGTGAGATTCCATCTGAGCCTATAGCCTTTGTCACTTCAAACTCTAGCAGATGCTTCCTCACTTTCCCACTGGTAATTACAATCTCATCTAGTGGTGTTTAGTTAAATCTTCCCTCTCCTATCTCTGGGACTTTCCCTTGCTCTACTGTGAAGACCTGAAATTTCTTATTGAGTTCATCACACACCTTGATGACTACATCTATCTGGACCTAAACAAGGCTTTCAACAGAGTTCCTCACAAGAGGGTGTTCTGGAAACTGGAATATATTGGAGGGGTGACAGAGTGGCTTCTAACATGGATGAAAAATTTTCTCACACAAAAAAAAAGGGCAGTAACCAGAGGAAATGTATCGGACTGAAGAAATGTCATGAATGGAGTACCACAGGGTTCAATTTTTGCACCAGTAATTGTTATTGTCAACATAAATGATCTACCAGATGGAATAAAGAATTATATGAACATGTTTGAGGATGATACTAAGATAATAAACTTAGACAATTGTCATATCATTCAAGAAGACCTGGACAAAATAAGTGTATGGCACACCACTTACCAAATGCAATTTAATGTGAATAAATGCCATGTTATGGAATGTGGAATAGGAGAACATAGACCACACACATCTACAAATTATCATGTAAGAATATTAGAAATCTTTAAGATTTCTTTTAAGAAATTCTGATAAAGAAAGAGATCAAGGGATGGTTCTAGATAGAAACTATCACCTGAAGACCACATAAAGAACATCGTGCAAGGAGCCTATACTACACTTACTAGTTTCAGAATTGCTTTTAAACAGATGGATGGTGAAATAGTAAAGAAATTGTTCACAACGTTTGTTAGATCTAAGCTGGAATATGCAGTGGTTAAATGGTGTCCATATCTTAAGAAGCACATCAACAAACTGGAAAAGGTGCAAAGATATCTAACTAAAGGGCTCCCTGAACTGAAGGACAGCTAGCTAAACAAATCTGCCAAAAATATATAAGAAAATTCACTTTCGCAAACACAATGGTAGACGATTGGAACCAATGTCCAAAACCGTCAGTAGTTTTCAAAGCTTAACACTTTCGCGCTATCTGGACGCGCCGGCGCGTCCCGTTTCGTCTAACGCTAACACATAGTGGACATAAAGTTGAGTCCTCTTTTAAAATATTTGTATAAAATTCAATTTTTATCCGATTTACTTTGGGTTTGTTTCATACTGCGCGCTATGAGGCTCTCTTTCTCACCACTAGGCTGCATGGTACAATAAGTTCATGAAAGGTGTGGATAACTTCGATCAAATGGTATTTTGTCCCAAACGGGTTGCAGGTGGGTGACTTTAGCCGTTTATACTGGTAATGCTTCCCCCATATCATGTATTATATGCATATGTCTGTTTAGGGAATTTTATTCCGATCAATATACAACCAAAAATAACTGTGTGCAACAAGTATAAACTTGACAAACATAACAAAAGTAAAAACATTTCGTGTGTGTTTGACGCTCACTGATATGTTCCAGCGTTGTTTTATATTTGGCGCTATTCTAACTTACGCTTTGTTGATATTTTTTACCTATGGGCACATAGAACATTCTATTGCGAACACATTGACACAAAAATGAATGACGTACATAGAAAATTAATGTCATGAGAGTGAAATAAGTATAAACTTTCAAAGCGCCGTGCGTCGTCCCGTCACCGATACCGGGTAACAATTTCACCACTTCCCACACTCTTGCGGGCGAGCCGCATCATTATTCTACGCTTATATTCATATCACCGTGTTGGGAATTTCATTGCGAGTCCATTGATACCAAAAGTAACGCTGTAGAATAAGTGTGGAGGTGATTACAATCTCAAGAGTAAAAACATTTTGTTGCTGATGGGCGCTCACGGCGAGTCATCTTCGTAGTTATTTATTTGGTGCTGGTATCCCTATACGTTTCGTGACTTTTTTTTTACTGATGTTCTTCTAGAGAATTTTATTGCGAACACGTTGGTACCAAAATGAAATACGTAGCATGAGAACTAAGGTCAGAAGAGTAAAAAGAGTATACACATTTTTGTTTTTACGCTTAAGCGATAAAAACGCTGCGCGCACATTCGGTTGGCTGAGTGACCTTTGCGGAAAGCGCGAAAGTGTTAATATGATCGAATGCTGGGAATACGAGACACCACGAGTGTAGCTCTCATCCTGTAATTACACTTATGTAATTACTTTTTTCACGTTTGAAAGTGCAATGAAGCTAACTCTGCATCTGGCCTCTTACTTTGAACAGTCATTCTATTTTGTAGATATAGATGTAATGTATATGTATATTGATACAGTAATATAAATAAAATCAAACAAATTTCTTATTACAGTAATTATAAATATTTTCCCATGAGCAGTTAAGAATGAAGGTGTTGGGGTGTCGCTGCGTCCAGGAGCTCCACCAACAATGGTCTCGGTGCCATCTGTCCTCGACTCATTATCTGCTTCCTCGTTGGTTCCTGCTGACCTACTACAAACCTCATCTCATTCACCTTCTTCTACCAATGTGCAGAGTGATGATGACCTCAATGAGGAGAACCCTGAGATGTGCACAGGTGAGTTGTTGCAAGGTTATGCCTAAATGTGTGTTTCTGGGGAACACCCCCATGTGCCTTCCTGAAGCTATACACTTTAGATGGTTCCCATCTACCAGGTCGCATCAGCCATGGAGTTTGTAGGCCTACTAGGGACCAGAGCTAGAAAGCTAGAACCTGGCCCCTCCCCTCACAGAGGTACAGGGAGCAGTAACATTTTGCCATCTCACTGGGGAAGATATCCAGAGAGTCAATGCATAAAAAAAAATGCTGTATTCAAAGGAGATCAAAGCCTTACAACCTGCCTAATGAACTCTCCCAACTATGTAAACAAACTATTGAATCTCTTGAAATTAGCATGAGCTCGTTCGCCCCATTCCCCTACTTGTTATGGGGTAGAGGGCCACCTCTATTGCCACCTCCAAAAGTCTGAACAGTCGGTTCTTAAGCCGATGGAATTGAGATCATCTGACTGCTGTAGTGGTTCCCAGGGTGCCACTGTTCTGTGTGTGGGCTAAGTGTGTTCTGTTCAGCTAAGTGGTTTTGGGTATTTGCCTTTGGTGGCTTTTCCTGTACGACTGGTGCATAACATGAGCCTGGTTTATAGAGTGCTTGGAGCTGCATGTCCTCAGATTTAGCTTCCCTGTGTGCTCCCTAATGCTGCCCTTGCATTGCCAGAATTATCTTGCATTATCAGAATTAAACTCTGGAGTGTTTGGAAGTTAGCTCTGTTAGAGGTCCTTTTCGCTTGTGGTGGCCTCTCATTGTGAGTAAGGTGGGGGGGGTCTTGTGACTTTGCTGTCTTGACTCTGGTTGGGTGCAACTTTGACTGGTGGAGTGCACTGGTGGTTGGTGGGTTCCCTTCAGTGCACCGAGGATGGCTTTCACAACCATGAAACCCAGGCTGTGTAGACTTACTTTTAGGTCTAGCATAGCATTCATTCCCAGTGCCTGGGTGTTCTGCTTGGTTTACCTTTCAGGCCTTGGAAATTCCCTGCGGGTTCATTGGTTTTATGGATATCCTCACCCCATCCCCCACCACTTGATCCTGCTCTCACTAATTGTTAAAATACATTCCCTGATCATAGAAATACAGCTTAATAAAAAATTGTGTATGTGGCTTACTTTGGTCATGATGAAGCCTAGAAGTTTCACAATGACATCATGATTCATGAGCATTCATCTAGGAAGCGCTCTGGGAGGGTTGCACCAATCCAGCTGTGAGGCGGGAGATGCCGCCAATATATTTTTTACATATTTACTCTAATGTTTTTGATTAGTTTTCTGGTAATAATATTCAATAGTGTGTCTGGAGAAACTTATCCGGCTGCTTGGATGCTTCCCTGGACTTCAGGGACGAGTATTGGCACATTCCTATTCCTCTGGGTTCAGGGCTTGGTTCAGTTTTATCGTGGGGCAACATGCTTACCTCTTCTGTTGTCTCCCTTTCGGGTTGATCTGGCACCTCTCATTTTTACTCATTTGACTCGTACATTGCTCGCCCTCTCTCCCGACACCACCCACCCACCCCACCCCCTACACCACGCGCCTAGAGCAACAGCCATACAAGATTAATACGGTGCGGCCTGATGCCTGGCTTTCTGATCCGGACAATTTGCCGCTTGTCTGGCTTACTCTCCGGATTGGGTAACATTGGCAGTAAGTTAACTGGCTCTAGATTTCTTATCCGGCTAAACATCAGCTAGTCCGGCTTTCGTGGACATTTTGACCGGATTGGGAGATAATTTTACCGGGGACCATGGCCAGAACCTGGGCCCCCTCAGAGAGGCATGACCAATGGCCTATAGAAATGCACATGTGATTTTGGAGCATTCTGTATCTGCCATCGACCAGGACAGGCACCCAGAAAGGTAAGCATCTCAAAACAAACCCCTATTTTGTTGAAATCAACGAAAAGGAAATGAGTGGACAAAACTCCCCCAAGGGAAAACAAGCAAACAAGCATGACATCACACGAGGCCATTGGTCATGCCTCTCTGAGGGGGCCCAGGTTCTGGCCATGGTCCCCGGTAAAATTATCTCCCAATCTGGTCAATCTACCACAGGGTTCAGTTCTTGCATCAGTGATGTTTATTGTCTACATAAATGATTTACCAGTTGGTATACAGAATTATATGAACATGTTTGCTGATGATGCTAAGATAATAGAAAGGATAAGAAACTTAGATGATTGTCATGCCCTTCAAGATGACCTGGACAAAATAAGTATATGGAGCACCACTTGGCAAATGGAATTTAATGTTAATAAATGCCATGTTATGGAATGTGGAATAGGAGAACATAGACCCCACACAACCTATATATTATGTGAGAAATCTGTTAATTAACACTATCCTGGATTTTCCACTTGGAATTACGGGCGGTTTAGATAAGCGCTTGTCGGATCACGACGTAAATTTACGGAACCGTGTTATAGTGGGTATTTACTACTCGATCGACTTGGGGTTTGTATGAATATATTTGCCATTAAATTTTCGTTTTCTCTAATAGGCACAGTGCCTATTAGAGAAAACGGCAATGTATTGTAACTTAGAGGAGAGACTATTGATTTGGTGACACAACGAGGGTAATCGCCCACTCCACACACTCTTGTGTTGGCCGCGATCATGATTCTACATTTATATGCATATGTCTGTAGATAATTTTATTCCGAACACTATACAAACAAAAAAAATGGTGTGAAACAAGTATAAACTTGAAAATACATGAGCAAAGTAAAAACTTTTTACGCTCATGGGTACAAACACGCGTAAGATTTTATTCGCCGCAAATTTATTTGACGCTCTGTTGGCCAATTCTACCCATGTTCTTATAGAACTTTCTATGTTATATATAAAACTTTCTATTGCGAACACATTGCTATAAAAATGAAATACGTAGCTCGAGAAATAATGTCACAACAGTGAAATAAGTATAAACTTTCAAAGCGCTGCATCACAACAGTGTCGTCGCTGCTGAAATCACGGCTAACGCTTCGCCCAGTTCCCACACTCGTGCGGAACATAATTAGACATTGATAGGCATATGTCTGGGTGGGGAATTTTATTGCGAGTTTAGTGATATCAAAATAAGCACTGTAGGATGACTGTGAGGCTGGCAACAAACGAAAGAGTATGAACATTTACTTCCTGTTTGGGTGTCACGGCTAGTCATCTTCGTGTTTATTTACTTCATGGTGGGATAGCAAATGCTTGGGTGACATTTTATGCATATGATCTTGTAGAGAATTTTATTGCCAACGCATTGATACCAAAATGAAAAACGTAGCTCGAGAATTGATGTTAGGAGCGTGAAAAGATTATAAAACTTTTTTGTGTTTACGCTTGAGCGCCCAGAACGCCGCGCGCACAACCCGCTTTTTTTTTCAGCGAGTGCCGCGCGCACTAAAGTGTTAAATACATGGATGGCGATATACTAAAGAAATTGTTCACGACTTTTGTTAGGCCAAAGCTAGAATATGCAGCGGTTGTGTGGTGCCCATATCTTAAGAAGCACATCTACAAACTGGAAAAGGTGCAAAGACATGCTACTAAGTGGCTCCCAGAACTGAAGGGCAAGAGCTACGAGGAGAGGTTAGAGGCATTAAATATGCCAAAACTAGAAGACAGAAGAAAAAGAGGTGATATGATCACTACATACAAAATAGTAACAGGAATTGATAAAATCGATAGGGAAGATTTCCTGAGACCTGGAACTTTAAGAACAAGAGGTCATAGATTTAAACTAGCTAAACACAGATGCCAAAGAAATATAAGAAAATTCACTTTCGCAAACAGAGTGGTAGACAGTTGGAACAAGTTAGGTGAGAAGGTAGTGGAGGCCAAGACCGTCAGTAGTTTCAAAGCGTTATATGACAGAATGCTGGGAAGACTGGACACCACGAGCGTAGCTCTCATCCTGTAACTACACTTAGGTAATTACGAACTGTGCCGCATGTCTGCACAGCTTCCCCCCCCCCTCCCCAGGAGGGGGAAAGGGGGAGGTCCCAACCCTCTCCAGGAGGGGGAAGGGGGGAGCCCTAGACCCTCGCGCCGGCGATCCACACCTCGAGTTCTTCGGCTGATGGGATTAGGCGTAGTCGTTGTGGCTCCGGTTCCAGATTCTCTTTGTGCTGTGTCTGGGTTCAGTGCTTCTCTTCGGGGGTGTGCGAGCTGGGAGTAATATTCACAGGTACTCGGGCTGCATGCACTTAGAGCTCCTTTCCCTAAGTGCCCTGTAAGTACTGCCCTAGGGCCTTAGTGTTACCTTCCTAAAGTCACCTTGGGTCTACCTCTGTTGGTCTTTCGCTGCTTGGCAATTGACTGCCCCGAGTGTTTTGGGGGATTCCTCCCTTGTTTGCCTTGGGGTAAGTGGTAGTTTTTGCACTGGTAGGGGCGTGGGATACTGCGTAGCTAGTTTTCACCTATAATAGCGGCCGGCTCTGTTCCCTCTAGGTACGCTGTTCTCTTGCGAGGTTTTTCTTTCCTTTTTGCCTGGCTGGGGGGTCTGCCTTGGTGTCCCTTCCCCTATATATTAGGGTTGTTTGTGTTGGTAGTACCCCCTGCTTCTCCCTTGTCAGTGGACATGTCCCGAGGGTTCAGCTTTAGCAGTGTTGGTTGGTAGCTTGGGCGCCGGTTAGCAGTACCCTGCCTGGGATAACCCTTAGCAGACCCAGTCTAGGTGCCCTGGGAAACCCTGCAGGGGGGCTCAGGGGTCACATTCCAATGAATGTAACCCCCTGAGTCTTCTCTCACTTTTTGCAAGTCTGAGGGGTTGCTCTGTCCCCTTGTCTCAGGTCGAGATCCATTGTTTTTGCCTTTGTCATGCTGCCTGTTGGGTCGGTGACACATTCGACCCAGAGTCCTGCAAGCTTTGTTGCTTGTATGTGACTCGGTTTACCCAATCTGATGATGATAATATTCGGGTGCAGGCACCTCACGCATTTCAGAATAGGTTTAGGCTGGTTGCTTCCCCATATGCCCCGAGGCTGCTCCGTTTTGTTTAGGAACCCGGACTTGGGGGGGGGGGTGTTGGTCACTTCGACCTCGTTCTTTCCCTGCTGTGGTCTATTCGGTTCCCCCCCCCCCCCCCATCCCCCTTCCTCCTGCTTCCGGCTCCTCGGGGCAGGGTTTAGAGGTTTCTGAGACTCAGGCAGTTTTGGAGTATTCAAATCAGTTCCTCCTTCAAGGGGTAGCTGCAGAGGCATTCAAGTCAGTTCCTCCAGTCGTAGCTCCGGGGTCTGACCAGTGGGTCCACCCTCTTCCTGCTATTCCGGCTGCCCTGGCTTTTTCCTGTGAAAAAGAAGGCCGGGGCCTTTCTTTTTCCACGTCAGGCCGGGGCCTGACGTGGAGGTTCCCAGGGTTGGGGAGGAGCTGACTTGAGGGCCTTGGGCCCTGTTGGACCCTGCCTGGGTTTTCCAACCCTCCGAGCGGGGTTTGCTGTTACAAAGAGTGGGGGTTTTCCTTTCCCCTCTGCGTACAACATGGATTTGGGTTTGGGTCCTCCCCGGGTTCGGTTCCGTCCTTCTGGAGGTTTTCGGCTTCCCGCATCTCTCCGGTTGAGGTGCGGGCGGCTATTGCTTACCGCAATGGTAAGCCGCAATGGTACCGCCAGAATAGGGGTTTGTTTTGAGGCGCTTGCCTTTCTGGGTGCCTGTCCCGATCGATGGCAGATATAGAATGCTCCAAAATCACATGTGCATTTCTATTGGCCATTGCTCCTCATGCCTCTCTGAAGGGGCCAGGGTCTGGCTGTGGTCCCTGGTAGGCCCAGAACTCCACCCACATTGACTGATGCCAAAAGTTAGGACTATCCCTACCAGCCTGGATAGCTCTGGGGAGCCTTGGGACTTCCCCAGAAAATGGCATTTCATTACATTCAATGCTGGGTTTTTTCTTGTAAACAATAAAAATGCATTATCATATTATAATATATATTATTATACATAAACATATATAAAAACTAGTCAACCTGTCCTCGTCCCCTCCCACATAGACTTGTTCGGCTGAAGGCATGTGTGTGTGTGTGTGTATACTCACCTATTTGTGCTTGCAGGATCGAGCATTGGCTCTTGGATCCTGCCTTTCCAGCCATCGGTTGTTGTGTGTGTGTGTATATTTATATTACTACTCTGCTAAAAAATACTGTTACAGTTGTTGTTTACCTTATTGTTGGAGTTAATGTCCATCTTGAATTCTTATGGAGTTGTGAATGCTGTACAGTAAATATGTACTGTACTGTATTATGCCATTAGCACTGTATTGATAAGTAGTTCTGATGTATGTCGAGTACCACAATACAGTTTATGAAAACTATTTTACACTAAAATTACTGTACTGCATCCTTCATATTAACACTAAGACTATGTACTTAAATTTAATACTTATTCTAACTGTTCACTCCACACACGATGTTCTTAGATGTTTGCATCAGCTTTGCTGGTGCTCGCTGCTGCTCTGTTTGATTCGACTGCTGTTTTACTGGTGCTGTGTACGGCTGTGCTCGTGCTGGGTACTGCTGTGCTTGTGCTGGGTACTGCTGTGCTTGTTGATTTTCTGCTACTGCTTAAAGTTCTTGCAAAATACTGACTAATTTTTTGGCACTAATAAGGCACTATTAGCAAGCTACTGAGACATCTTGTTGTATAACAATACAGCTGTAGTAAAAAAAATGGTAAATTTTACAATTATTCTTCCACTTGCGGACAAACACGTCACTCACCGACAAAGCTAATGGCACTAGGTACCTACTGAATCAGGAATGCCTGAATAACATCAGGCAGTGAAGATTTCTCTGGAGTGCACTCTCTGGCATGTTTTGCCTGCATTCCACTAGGTCCTGGCTCAATGCTTGATTATCTCACAAGGAAATGTTCCATTGAAGATTGTTTTTACGTTCTTCGCAACATTTGTCTGTAGTGAGGCATCACATTGTCATTAAAAAGATTAATGCAACGGCCTACTACAGCTTTCTCTGGGTGAGTCGTTTCAATAAAAGTTTGCATTTCTTCCCACATCTTACACCACTAACTAATTGTTGAGGCAGGGACATTCTCTTCTGCCTCATTCTCTTCTGCACTCATTCTAGCTAGTTCAACAACTCGAGTACCATTTTCATGCTTACGAATGATCTCTTGTTTTTCCTCTATGGTCATTCTCACATGTGATTTCTCGCCTTGAACCTTACCACTGGCTTTCTTGGGACCCATGGAGAGATATATACAGTAATAACAAATTTTATGCTCAAATAGCAAAATATCCGAAAAGAAACAGTAAATCCTTGCGAAAAATTCAGACGGGCTAGTCACTGGGCGCGAGGCACTGGTAAACTGAGACACAATCGCTGTGCCACCACGCGCTAGGTCGGCCGTACATGTATGAACAAACTCGTATCCCGGGGTAAAGTTCGTATCCCAATTCAAATTTTCTGAACAAATCGGGCTCGTAGCCCGAAAAGTTCGTAAACAGGGGCGTTCGTAAACCGAGGTACCACTGTATTTAGCTTAGCAACATTATTACGATAATAAGAGCTATAAAAATACTTATTTTAGAACTGATTTATTAATTTTATTATTTCGAAGCCGTAGGTCACTGAACTATGACAACAAAATTGAACGAAACACGCATGGTGCTGTGTGCACACGGATTAAACCCGTTCACTTGCGCTGGAGTTCTTGTGCCAAAAACATGAATAATTTCTTAAATAGCAGATGTGTATCATATTACAGTATCTTTTTGGTTTTATTTAGTTTAGTTTAATTAGGATAATAAAGCTATTAAAACACCGGTTTTAAAAATGATTTATTAATATGAAACTTTCAAAGTCATGGGTCACTGAACTATGACGACACAAACGAAAGTGAATTTACAGTACAGTATTCCTTTATCTGTCCACCCTCACTCCTCTTGTTTCATTACAGAAAATGTATACAAGATTTCAATACATTAGCTAGCTATTCACGCTTCAGCCTTTCAATGAATCTACAAAGATACATGTGCCACAGATCAGTGAATGAAAATCATGGAAACACTGTCGTTCACTTTTGTGGACCACTCTGGCTGGTGTTTGGTTCATATCCTACTCCATATAGCCCTTCAGAACGAGGTGTTTCATTACATTCAACACCTTATTTTTGTTGGTACTGTACAGTTGAAAAATACAGTCCTGGATGGGTTATCAGGTTTCAGATATACTGTACCATTTTTATAGGTATAGTTTTTAATAATTTTATATTTAATATGATGGTTAGTTTACTCTGCTTGCAGTTTCAGATGAGGTTGCCAACAAGGCCTTTGAGGAACTTGGTATTCACATTGATTCCCTGCAGTGCGAACCTTCACCACAAGGTGGCAAGCATTGGCTTTGTCCCATCAAAGGCTGCTGCAAGCATTTTCCAAAACTTTCTTCTCTTAAGGTAGTTGCTTTAAATAGTTTTGTAAGTATACTATTAATATTATGAAGACTGTGAAATATTTTTGAGAGGGCCCCTTAAATAGTTACCCGAGATATAGCAGTGGGGCTGCCAAACCTTAGGTAATTACTTTGGGTCTTCAAGACCCAGTTGATGATACCAGGGGTTCAAAACCTGAATCTGGCTCTCTGAGAGTCAAAGGGAGCTTGTTGAATCAGAGATTAGCTTCTGCTTAAAGTACATTAGTAACCCTGAGGGAAAGAGGGCAAAGAATTGTTGCTGCTAAGTAAGCACCTCAGCTATGATATGCTGTTAAGTACATCTTGACCTGGGTGTTTACCAGTACTAAATGGTAGCTTGGGTCACCCTGAGTTCTTGCCAGTTAACCACCCTATTCACTTGCCCAAACTAAAGTCGCACCTCTTTGCTGGGCTGCATTCAAATTCACGCTTTCAGATGAGTGTTGATGATCCTTGAATCATTTCTTTTGTGTAGGCCATTACGGTTTTTGTTCCATTTTCTGCTTCATGTTTGTGTTTTGTGTCACCCTCCTTGCAGGTTCCCTGTATTTGAGTGAGTGAGTCAGGGTAATTTTTTATGCACCAAAGCAAGAAGTGTCATTTTACATGGTCAGTTGGAAGTCAGGTCTCCAACCTCCATGGGTACTTTTTCATTACATCATAGACCTAGATGACTTGTGTACTGGATTACTATGGGAAATGTATAGGCATCTGTGCTTACTTACTATTGGCCTATTCATTTACCGGACTGTTGGACAAAGGGAAACGATTGCCAAGTAACCTGTAACTCCAAAGCATCATTGATGCTATATAGTCTTCCCAGCTTGGTGCCTTTTGGTAATTACTTCCAAAGCATCATTCTGCTCCAGGAGTTCACAGTTGGATGTGCATCAATTTAATAATGGCCAAATTAGTGTTGATCACTATCCAGAAATTCCTAATGAAAGTTACGTAGTCCTTTGCATTCAAGTTAACTGCCAGTTCATTTCAGAATCATAATACATGCAATTTACTTGATTCCAAGTTATGATAGTGAGAACTGTTTAGAGGTAAGATTACCACATGACTGGTACCAGGAGTAAAAGACTACTTCCTGGGATTTTCCCAGATATAGTTGTATTTGCCACATTACTTTTAGGTGCTGCAGGTTGAAGTCCCCAAGCAAGGGGATGTTTGGGGCTGGGATTGTGAGGTTTTATTTTCAGTATTCTATTTTCATTAGTATGTCTTTAAACTACTTAGGATATGCCTCAGGTGACTTGTATACATGGATAATAAGAACATTTAGAACTTCTGTTTTTATTATCAGCACTTCCACCATATCATTTGTGGTGTTTAGCAGCTCATTGCAGATGAGTGTGTCATTGATGTACAGGCTGATATCACCCTGTAGCATATTTTCTCTCGCGTCAATAGACTGGGAGGCCTACGAAGCAAGAACTGGGGACATTTGGACAGGCAGATTTGTAAACCTCATTCAGAAGACATTCATGTTTCAACATGTTAAACAAGCTATGAGGAGGGACGGAGATGTTCCATCAATACTGGCTCTAATATTCGCCAGGAGAGAGGAAGAGATGTTTGACATCCAGTACCTTCCTCCCTTAGGAAAGAGTGATCATATCCTGTTGGTAATTAAATATGCTTTGTGATATAATCTAGAAGAGAATGGGGATATTGAAACGGCTGATAAACTCGATTTTAAGAGAGGACACTATGAGGAACTTAGAAATTTATTGATGACTCTAATTGGATTCATTTAATAATCATTTAAACAAGTCTAATTAGATGTTACTAGGCAAGGAAGTAGTTGAGATGTATACCAAATTTTGCAAAATATACAATGAAGAAACACAAACATTCGTACCAAAACAGAATTGCAGAACCAGGAAACAGGATTGGTTCAACAGAAATTGAGAGGGGCCAGAGAGGATAAGACAAGAAAATGGATTCAATATTGGAAGAGGTCTAACCTGCAAACATACCAGCAATATAAGCAAGCAAGAAACAATTACACAGCGATGAGAAGAGAGGTTATCTTGAGAAAGGTCTAGCGGACAAATGTAAAACAGATCTAGGCTTTTTCTATAAATTTATTAAAAGCAAGCTACATGTAAAGGATAAAATCTACAGATTGAGAACAGAGAACAGGACTACTGAGAATGAAAAAGAAACGTGTGAAATGCTAAATGAACAGTTCCAAAGTGTGTGTGTGTACAAAATGAGGATTAAATACCAATTCCAGAGCAAGCCATAGAATAAATACATAGATGTATCTCGAGACGAAGTGAAGAAATTACTCATGGGGCTAAGAAGAAATACAGTGGTTAGACCTGATGGAGTTTCACCTTGGGTGCTGCAAGAATGTTCAACTGAACTGAGCACTCCATTCCAATTAATATTCCAGACATCCTTGTGCACAGGAATCTTAGCATATTTATGAAAAAAAGGCAAACATTGTACCAATCTATACAAATGGTAGTCAAGAGGAACCTCTAAATTAAAGACCCATTTCATAAACAAGTGTGGTAGTCAAAACACTAGAAAAAATTAAAGCCAAATTGGTTAAACACCTAGAGAGTAATGACATAATAATGGACGGACAGTATTTGAACAGGAAGATCCTGTGTAACAAATCATCTTAGTTTTTATGATAGAGCCACAGAGAGTCTACAGGAAAGAGGTGGTTGGGTTGAATGTGTCTGTCTGGACCAAAAAAACAGACTATTGATAGAATCCCACACAATTGGCTGTTCTGGAAACTGGAACATGCTGGAGGGGTGACAGGGAGACTTCTGACATGGATGAATTTTTTTTTTTAACTGACAGATGAGGGCAGTAATCAGAGAGAATGTATCTTACTGGAGGAATGTCACTAGCAGAGTACCACAGGGTTCAGTTCTTGCACCACTAATGTTTGTCTACATAATTTATCTACCAGAAGTAATACAGAATTATATGAACATGTTTGCGAATGATGCTAAGATACTGGGAAAGATAGGAGATGCAGACGATTGTAGTGCCCTTCAAACTAATCTAAATAAAATAACTGCTTGGAGCGTCAAGTGGCAAATGGAATTCAGTGTGAATAAATGCCATGTTATTGAATGTGTAATGGAAGAAAATAGACCACACAAATCTTACAAATATTACTGAAGTGATTACGTGGCAAAAGTACTTGTTCAAAATTCACTAAAATTACAATATGTACAGTTTCACACAGTAACGCAATATATTATACACTCAGTACTTTGGAGCGAGTAATAATCAATGAAGCAGTCACACAGTACATGGCGCAACTTCGCTCTCGATGCACCAGGTACAAACAGATTTTTTCTTCCCATTTCTTTGTTCTGTGTGCTTGCAAATATCGCGCTCATGTTCACCCTTGACTTGTACCTGTAGGTGGTATGTCACCAAGGTTGTGAAGTGTAAGGTAATCTTGAAAAGGTTATAGGAAAAGATCAATTTGTAAGGTCGTCTTGAAATGATCGCTTTGTATGGTATTCTGGAAGAGATTCAGTCATTCTGGAAAAGGTTCAGCCATTCTGGAAGAGGTTCAGCCATTCTGGAAGAGGTTCAGCCATTCTTGAAAAGATCTATGGAAAACACCACCATGGAAGCAACTAACACTGTTCATCTATGCAACATGTATCAAATGCATCATCACTGAACCCAGAAAACAATTCATCTGTGTATTATCTATAAAAATTGGAGATAACATGGGGGTGAGCATGGATGGTGCTCAGCTACTACTGGATTAAACGATAAGGTCTGAATTTCACTGTGAGCTATCTTTCAACACTGCATCGGACAGGTGTTTGGGAGCCAGAGGCGCGTGTACTACCCATGATTGCTCACTCTGTACTAAGCCAGCCAGCAACCCTAGGACATTCTGGGATTTTCTGGGGGAGCCCCTTCGGCTTCCCAGAGCTATTCAGGCTGATTTGTACATCATTAGACTTTGGCATCAGTCAGTGTGAATGGAGTTCTAGGCCTACCGGGGACCACAAGCCAGAACCTGGCCCCCCTCAGAAAGGCATGAGGAGCAATGGCCTATAGAAATGCACATGGGATTTGAAGCATTCTATGTCTGCCATCGATCGGGCCAGGCACCCAGAAAAATAAGTGCCTCAAAACAAACCCCTATTCTGGTTGAAACAATGAAAATAGTCTAACGAGCAGACAGAACTCCCAAAATGAAAATTAGCATGATGTCACACTAGCTGTGCCGCATGTCTGGGCAGCTACCCCCTCCCGGGAAGGGGAAGGGGGAGCCCCAGATCCACCGCGCCAGCGATCCACCCTTCAGTTCTCGGCCGATGTGATTGTAGCACGATCGTATGGCTCCAGCTCGAGTTTCTCTCTATGTTGTGCTCTGCCTTGTATCCAGTACTGCTCTTTCACTGGCATGCGAGCTGGGAGTATCTGGGGCTGAATGTGCTTAGGGTTCCCTTACCTGAGTGCCCTGTAAGTACCTCCCTTGGAGCTTAGGGTTATCTTCCACAAGTCACCTTAGGGTCTACCTTTGTTGGTCTTTTGCTGCTCGGGATGGACCGTCCCGAGTGTGTTGGGGGGTTTCCTCCCTTGTTTACCGTGGGGTAAGTGGTAGGTTTTGCACTGGTAAGGGTGTGGCGTACTGCGCAGCTAGTTTTTCCCTATAACAGCAGCCGGCTCTGTTCCTTCTGGGTACATTGTCCTCTTGTGGGATTTTTCTTTTCATTTTTTTTTGTGTGTGGTAGGGGGGGTCTGCCTTTGTGTCTCTTGCCCACCGTTATATTAGGATCTTGATCTCCAGTGTTCGGTGGTACTCCCTGCTTGGCCCCCATGAGTGGACACGTCCTCTATGTTCAGTTTTAGAAGTTTGTTTGGTAGACTTGGGCGCCGGATAGCGGTACCCTGCCTGGGCTTACCCTTACCGATACCAGTCTAAGGGCCCTGGGAAACCCTGCGAGGGCGCACAGGGTCCGAGGGATGCGACCGCTGGGTCCCCTCTTGCCTTGTGCGAGTTTGAGGATTGCTCTGTCCCCTTGTCTCAGGGTGACACTTATTGGTTTTGCCTCCGTCATGCTGCCTGTTGGGTTTGTGAGACCTTCGACCCGGAGTCCTATGAGCATTGTTGCTCGTTTGTGACTCAATTCACCCAATCCTCTGATGACATTATTCGGGTACAAATGACTCAGGCGTTGCATGCTAGGTGACTGAGCGGACAGAACACTGGACGCGTGATCCTGTGGTCCTAGGTTTGATCCCGGGCACCGGCAAGAAATGATGGGCAGAGTTTCTTTCACCCTGATGCCCCTGTTACCTAGCAGTAAATAGGTACCTGGGAGTTAGTCAGCTGTCACGGGCTGCTTCCGGAGGGTGGAGGCCTGGTCGAGGACCAGGCTGCGGGGAGACTAAAGCTCCAAAATCGTCTCAAGATATTGTCTCAAGATAGGTATAGGTTGCTACGTGCTCGGTTGGTTGCTGTTGGTCGCTTCGGCCTTGTTCTGTCCGCACCCCCTTGGTCTTCCCCTGCTGTGGGTCATTCTGGTCCTCCCCTCCTCCCCCTTTGCTTCCGGCTCCAAAGCATCTGAGGGCTTCGGAGTTGGGACGAGCCTCCAGGGCTCACCCAGAAATTGGCATTTCATTACATTCAGTGCTGGTTTATTCCATGCAGACTTTCACATTTATGTACTAATCATTTACATGCATATTCAAATAACTGTACACTTCTTGGTTATTAATCTTGTATTGAGCAATGTAGCACAAGAAAACATGAAACTTCTTATACTCTATATTTACTACACCTATTTAAATAATCTTGAATTTCTTTCTCCTGTAGGTTCATTTGCTGAGCCATAATGGAATCCGGCCGTATAAATGTAGCTATGAAAGCTGTGACTGGGCATTTTATACATGGTACAAGCTTAAACGTCACATTGAAACTCACTTGAAGAGACGGGATTATGTGGTAAGTTTATGCAGTGCAGCAAACTTATTTCATATATTTTTTTTTTTTTTTTTTTTTTTTTTTTTTTTTTTTTTTGAGATATATACAAGAGTTGTTACATTCTTGTACAGCCACTAGTACGCGTAGCGTTTCGGGCAAGTCCTTAATCCTATGGTCCCTGGAATACGATCCCCTGCCGCGAAGAATCGTTTTTTCATCCAAGTACACATTTTACTGTTGCGTTAAACAGAGGCTACAGTTAAGGAATTGCGCCCAGTAAATCCTCCCCGGCCAGGATACGAACCCATGACATAGCGCTCGCGGAACGCCAGGCGAGTGTCTTACCACTACACCACGGAGACTGCACTGTCTTACCACTACACCACGGTAGTGCAAAGGTTATATCTGCAAAGGTTGGTAAAATTAATTGTACAGTAAATTCTATCAACTCTTTAATACTCTCCTAGGCTTTTCTTCTGCTTTATGATGCTTTTCTGGCGGGGAGTCTCGTAAGCTTTCTGATTTCACACTGATTAAGTACTGTAACAGTTGTTGAAGTGACATGAGTAGAGACTGGGGGAGGGGGGGAGTACCTGACTTATTAGACTTTCACAGGGAGATGAGTTAAGGTCACAGAAACCTTACCTCAGGTAGTTTCAAAGGTTGGAAGGCTATCCCTTGTTACCAGATTCAAGTTCATTAATTCAACGGAAAATTGTGGATTGGTGGGTATAAAAGCTTGTTACAAGAGAGGAAGAGTGTGTACTGTGTCTCAAGACAGGAGTCTGGGGTCTAGTGTTGGGTACCACAGGGGAAGGGAAACTGATGATCTGGTACCTACACAGAAGCTTCATCACAGCTGTATCTTGAGTGAATACGGGTCCCTTATGTTCTAAACATCACAAGAGTTGATATTTCTATTGCCTTGATAGGGAAGATAGAATAGAATTTTTATATTGACTAAATAAATAAATATATAATACTAAACTGTCCAACTGGTGTGTCCATTCCTTTCTGTTATTCATTCATAGAGAGTTGCCAGTGAATAGTGAGAGTCGACCATGTTCTCCTCTTCCCCTTCCTGTGGCATCCTTAACTCTCATCTTTAACTTTCCCATGGCCGTTATCCTTCGCCGCCGGTCACTGTAAAGTACTGTACTTATGTTCATCAAAGGCGAATGGGGTGGTTACCTTGAGGTGCTTCCGGGGCTTAGCGTCCCCGCGGCCCGGTCGTCGACCAGGCCTCCTAAGAAAATACAAGCATTAAGTAACCTAAAGTTATAATTTATATCAACTCGCTTGGTGGCAGTATCAGTGGTGATAGCCAGGTGGGTGGTGTTATATAAGTGTTATAAATACACAGCCTGCTACCATTTATAACATTTATAATGTTATTCTTTACTTCTGTGTATTTATAACACTTATACATAATACATATAAGTATATACTATTATACATATACAGTGGCACCTTGACTTACAACTGCCCCTACTTAAGGATTTTTTGAGTTACGGCGTATATTTCGTTGGAAAATACGACTCCACTTACGACCTTTACCTCAACTAGCGACTTTGGTGATATGAGTATGGGTCGACCCATCGCGTGGTACATGGTGGCACGGCTGGCCATCTCCCCCCCCCCTTCCCCTCCTTCAGTTAACCAGAGCCGCCCGCTTAGTGACAATTGTGCTTGTAAAGACTTTCATTAATTTTTGTGCTTTTTTGTTTTTTGAACATAAAAGTAATTATCATATCTCATGTCTTGGGTCCCAAGAAAGTCAGTGGTAAGATACATCCTAAGAAAACACATGTGAGGATGGCCATAGAGGAAAAACAAGAGATCATTCGTAAACATGAAAATGGTACACGGGTTGTTGATGTAGAGTAGAGGATGTCCCTTCCTCATTTATTAAAATGTGTGCAGTATGGGAAAAATTGCAAAGTTTGGCTGAAAAGTGTCACCCAAATCAAGCTGTAGCAGACTGTTGTGTTAACCTTTTTAATGACAATGTGATGCCTCACTTCAGACAAGTGTTAGAATGTAGAGAAAAACAAGTGTTGCCAGACAGGTTTTTAGTGAGAAAAACAAGCAGTGCGCCACAAGCAGGTCCTAGTGGTATCCAAGCAAAATGTAGGGTGAGAGGGTACCCCAGAAAAGTCAACACTGCCTGATGTTATAATGGAAGGGAACTTCCCTTCCAAACACTAACACCTCTCCTCCCCTCCTCCTCACCGTCTTCCACACGCCAACAAGAGTCCTCATTCAAGGTAAGATATACATACAGTACTGTATTATAGCTAGTACAAAATGAGTATTATTCGGTATAAAGTGTATTTTTTAAATTAATATTTTTGGGGGTGTATTCGGCATAACATGGATGAAAAAATTTTGGATAGAAAAATGAGGGCTGTAATCAGAGGCAATGTATTGGACTGGAGAAATGTCACAAGTGGAGTACTACTGGGTTCAGTTCTTTCATTGTCTATTGTCTACATAAATGATTAAATGATCTGACAGATGGAATACAGAATTATATGAACATGTTTGCTGATGATGCTAAGATAAGTCAGGTCGAGGTCGAGGGAGGGGGAAGACGTACCGTGCGCGCTCCGGTAAAATCGTGACATTAACCGGGATTCTTAGGACTACTGCCGTGGATTACTGATTACAGACATAACAAAGTGCATAGTGACCCGCTGGAAAATTGAAAATAGTCATTAACAATAGAACTTTGTGTTAAATAGAGAATAAACGGGAGACACGTGTGAGCCAGTGAACGAGGCTTTGTGTACATGCGTGTATTAGGAAAAAAAAAAAAAAAAGTGAACGGTGATTCGTGGAACAGTGATGTGGAACGGGTATCACAACAACATATAAGTTGGAAGTGAATATTATAAATAACTGGAATACTAGAAATATAGAATAGTGGCAAGAGGCGGCATCAGTGGCCAATCCAATTATAAATCGGGTAACTGGAAACTGGTGACATCAACCTGGGCCACAAAAGGTCACCTGTACTGACCGGGGGACCAGCCTCGCTACCTACGCTAAGTACCTGCCATAAAGTTTGAACAAAATAACATACATACTATTACAAATATACGGTATACATATAATATTATAAATATTAAACATATAAATATATTCCTGGATGACAGCTTTCTCATACATATATTGAATGTTACAAATATACAATATACATATAATATTATAATATATAGATATATACAACAAAACAAGGCAATATGGGAGTAAATAAACAAATTGTGGCCACTGTAACAACTTCTTAAAGACGAAGGTAACGGGAATGGATGTTTATCTGTAAGACTAGATTCCATTCGGCTTGTACAGGAGTGAGTAACACTACGGCACTAAGAGCTGGCCACTTGCTCTGTGTGTGTAAAAATGACCTGCCAGCTTGGAATATCCTAAAAAACCTTCTAGATAACATGACGCATGATCGGAAAACATCATTCATTGGAAGCCTACCAGCCATCCAGAAGGAGTGGGAAAGGAACAACAATTCTAATATACAAGGGGCGGAGGCTATAGTCAGGGATGAAACTGAGGCTGAAACTCAGGAAGTTGTAAACTCTGACTTAGTGGGCGAGGATGTAGATGACGGTAAACTAGAAAGTGTACCAGACAGCACTGACAGCTCGATAGGTACAGACACTACGACGGTTCCCGATAGAGCAATTCAGAACAGAAGGACAGACTTATGCAAATTTTATGCAAAGGGCATATGCAGACATAGATATGCTGGTAATAAGAAAGGATTAGAATGCAGTTACCAACATCCCAAAAAATGTTTAAATATGCTTAGGAAAGGTGAGTGTCGATTTGGATCAATATGTAGGTTTTTCCATCCTGACATGTGCCAAACCTCACTGGAGGACAGAAAATGCTATGACCTCAGCTGCCCACACTTTCACGTGAAAGGCACGGAACGCTACATAAAGAGTGGCAAGCAGGATAATGAATTTGGAGGAAACTATAAATTTTTTATACCAGACCGGCAGAGAATTCAAAAGGAGCAGCATGGAGAGTGTATGGAACTGGATGCCAGATCCACTTGCATTCCAGAATTACAGATACAATTACCCACCGAAAGGGAACTACAACTACGACAGAAAACTGCCCTACAACAATCAGTACTGGTCAGAACAAACTCATTATGTCCACGAATAATGGACTTGCCGAAAAAGTCTCCCATTCAAACTATCACTAATAGAGTAACCTCATTCATCTTTGCCAACATACAAGGACTGAAAACAAGAACAAACAACAAAGTACAGTTCATAAATGGCCTCCTCACGGAGTCAAATGCAGTATTTGGAGCTTTCACAGAAACCCCATGCAGGGGAATTGTTGGACAGTGAGATCTGGATTCCAGGATATAACCTATACAGGTGTGATAGGAAAATTAGGTCACATGGAGGAGTGGGTCTGTATATTAGGGAAGACCTTGTATGTTCAGAGCTCCTAAACGTTACAAATGAGGTGGTAGAGGTACTGGGATTAAAAATAGAGAAAATAAATTGATTATACTAATATACAAACCGCCAGATGCAACGGCTGAGGAATTCACAGAACAGATAAGCAAAATAGAGAATAGCCTTGATAATTTGGAGAACCCGATACTTGATATTATCTTCCTAGGTGACTTCAACTTGCCTAGTCTCGGGTGGAAAATAGCAAACAATAATATTATACCAGGAAATCTATCAGGACCTAACCAACCACAGATTAGAGAACTACTTAGATTCTGTGACAAATTTTCACTCAATCAGCAGATATCGGAGCCAACGAGAAATGAAAATATTCTAGATCTGGTCTTTACGAACAATGAAGACATTATCAGAGACATTACGATATCAGATACCACATACTCAGATCACAATCTCATTGAAGTGCAAACGACCATCAGTACTCAGAATAGACCTAAAACGTTGATAAAGCGAGAGGGGCTATTCAGTAAATTCAATTTTAATAATAAAAGGATAGACTGGGAGATAATA